GGGTGACCAAATAATGAATTAGGTGCTAAATTATGATTTAATGCTGGCTAAGTTAAAAACAGACATTCCGTGTGAAAAATCCGAGGGGGTTCGCTAGAAAACAGGGGGTTTGCTAGAAAAGGGGGGTTCGCCCGAACATAAAAATCCCCCCTGGCTACGGGCCTGGACATGATAAGCAGAAGTCAGAAGTAACCTTTAAGATTATTGACGCCACACAAGCACCACGTGACTGTTATCAAGCTCTACATCAACAGAAATGGGTTGATACAAGTAGCAAAGCATATTAATCAGATTCAAAGGAAAGATAGCAGTCAAGAACTGGAAAAGAAAATACTAAAACAATACCCTGAAGTGTTCGAAGGTCTTGGAGAACTACCGGGAGAGTATCACATTGAAATTGACAGAAATATCACACCAACCAAGCATCCAGCCAGGAAAATTGCAGTTGCAATAAAAGAAGATGTAAAACAGAAACTGCAAGAATTAGAGCCCAAGAAGGTGATAGAAAAAGTCACTACACCTACAGACTGGTGGTCGTGAGAAAACCAGGCAAGTTACGAATCTGTTTAGATCCACGTGATTTAAACATGGCCTTAAAACGTCCCTATGCCCACAGTTGAAGGAATTTTGCCAGAACTAACAAATGCAAAGGTTTTCTCCGTACTGGATTCCAAGGATGGTTTTTGGCAAGTGAAGTTAGATGGAGCAAGTAGTGAGTTAACAACATTTGCTACTCCATTTGGAAGGTACAAATGGTTAAGACTTCCGTTTGGAATTAATACAGCTCCAGAGGAATTCCAAAGAAGGCAGCATTAATTAATCGAATGATTAAAAGGAGTACAAGTTGTGGCAGACGACTTCTTAATATACGGCTGTGGAGAAACCATGGATGAGGCGATTGTAGACCATGATACCAAATTGACCAGTTTCCTTGAAAGGGCAAAGAAAGTAAATCTGAAGCTGAACAAGAGCAAAATGAAACTTAGGCTAACAGAAGTCAAGTATATTGGACATATACTAAGTTCAGAGGGAGTGAAAGCAGACCCACTCAAGGTCAAAGCCATCAGTGAGATGCCTGTACCAGACGACAACAAAGCAGTACACAGGCTGATAGGCTGTGTAACCTATCTTGCTAAGTTCTTACCTAGGCTATCCCAAGTAGCGGAACCATTGAGAAGACTCACAGACAAGGAGGCACATTTTGACTAGATGGAGCATCACACAGAGGCATTCAACAAGATAAAGCAGATGTTGACTACAGCATCAAAGAAGAAGTAACAATACAATCTGATGCCTCAGAATTTGGGTTAGGTGCTACTCTACTACAAAATGGACATCCAGTAACATTCGCATCCAGAGCATTAACAGGAGGAGAAAGAAATTATGCTCAAGTAGAAAAAGAGTTACTCAGTATACTGTTTGCTTGTGAAAGATTTGATGAGTACATCTATGCCAGGGAATTTATCACGGTACACACGGATCATAAGCCTTTGGTAGCTATACACAAGAAGCCTATATCCAAAGCACCAAAGCGATTACAACGGATGCTGCTAAGGTTGCAGAAATATAAATTGGACATTCAGTATTTGCAGGGCAGTAAGAGGTACATAGCGGATTGGTTAAGCAGAGCATACTTACCAGGACATGAGAACGAAGACAAAATATTTAAAGAAATTGAACAGATAAATGAAGCTAACTACTGTTAATAAGCCAACCCAGTACCTGCTGAAGCAAGCAACAGCTAGGGACAGTCAAAGCTAAACACTGATAGAGATGATCAAGAATGGTTGGCCAGAGACCAAAGCAGAAGTTCCGATCAATATTTGAGAACACTTTAATTATCGAGAAGAAATAACAGCTCAAAATGGTGTCTTATTCAAATGACTGAAAATCATGGTACCTACCGAGATGAGAAAAAATCTGTTGCAAAAGACTCATTCAAGCCATCTGGGTGCTTAAGCATCAATTCGAAGAGCTAAAGACAGTTTATTCTGGCCAGGAATGTCAGCAGACATCAGAGAAATAGTAGACAAGTGCCAGATCTGCCAAACTTACCAAGACAAGCAGAAGAAAGAGCCAATGATGTCTTACCCTATTCCTACCAGATCATGGGAAATAATCTCTCAAGACATACTTACGTATAAGAGCAAAGATTACCTTGTAACAGTAGATCACTACAGTGATGTGTGGTTTCTGGATGAATTACAAGATCTAACATCTAAAACAATCATTGAATGCAGCAAAACGCACTTTGCTCTACAAGGAATACCATCAACACTGATCACAGACAATGGGAGACAGTGGGTTAGCCGAGAATTTGCTGAATTCACAAAGACATGGGAGTTCAACCATGTGACCAGCTCTCCCTATCACAGTCAGAGTAATGTGAAAGCAGAGGCAGCAGTTAAGATTGCCAAAAAAACTGATCAAGAAAACTTTGAAAGAAGGATCCGATCTATACCTTGCAATTCTCGACTGGAGAAACACACCAAACGATGCAGGACACAGCCCAGCACAACGACTGTTGTCTAGAAGAACAAATACATATTTGCCAGTAACAGAAATCCTTCTACAACCACAAGTAGTTACTGGAGTCTCAGAACACATTAAGAAAAGAAAACAGATATCAAAACTACAGTATGACAAAAGTGCAACAAAGCTACCAGAACTTGTCATTGGGGAAACTGTCAGACTCCGGCCTGAAAACAACAACCAAGAGTGGCAGACAGCAACCTGCAAGAAAAAAGTAGGACCTCGTTCTTACTTAGTAGAAACTACAAATGGCAAAGTTTATCGTAGCAACAGAAAGTTTCTAAGCACAACACCAGCAGGAGACATTGCTAAAACAATGCCAACAGTTGCACCCGACAAATCAGACATCACATCCACAACTGACATCCCAGTACCAGCAACACCAAATGGAACAAGTGACAAGAGCACAGTAAACCAACAACCATTAACTGGAAAACAAACAGAAGTTTCAACACCAATCATACCAACCCCTGCCCAGAAGAACCATAACTATGCCGAATCGATTCAAGAACTTTGTAACAAAGTTCTAGCAGGGAGTTTCTCCTATGTTCGTGTTAATGTTTTAAAAAAAAATTAAATAATAATAAATAAATAACATACATGACTTAATAATAGATATCATCAGCATCATAAATAGGATAGCTGATAGAATTCATATGAAACTACAAAATCGGCACATAAGAAAATAATGCAAACAGGCATATAGAGAAGTTCTGTTTATTAATACTGTGATCACATAAACATGCAAGTAATTATGCTATAGTTCAAAATTTAAAAAAAAAAATAAATAAATTTAAAAAAAAATTAAATGAAAAAAAATTAAAAGAAAATAAAGAAAGGGAGATGTTGTATGACGTACATAACTTATTCCCTGTTGTCACATCCAGCCGCCGTGTGGCGCTGTTTAGCGTTGAGCTGCGAATAAATCGGTTGTCAAGCAGACGGCCATTGAGTTATTACAATCTGGTTTTAGTGTCTTTCATTATACTTGTTATTGTAACAAACAACACTAGCCTAGGGCCAGGGCTGGCCTGTCGGAAGCGTTCCCGTTAGGCCCAGTACTGCAGTACTAGCTTAGGCTTCATTCAAGTAAGAAATTTTAGGCCTAGCTAGGACATTTGATGTTATCTTACTAATTAATTCCTTAATTATATGATAATTTATGTTAATTTGGTTCAGGTATTGCAAAACCAATAGACAAGAAAAAGAAAAGAGAGAATATGAAACCTTGAAAGAAAGGTAAGTTGATTTTCAATCATTTTTATAACCAACTTTTGTTTTTATAAGATTTGAAAAGTTTATAGCTTAAATAATATAAAATTAAAAACTGCTAAATATTTATTTACAATAAGCATGTTTTTATGTAAAATCTCTAAGGACAGATGCAAATAAAGGAATTTTCATACAATTGAATTTCAAATATATTTTCATCTGGTTCTCACTCAAGCTATGAAATTAATTCAAAAACCAAACTAAAGCCCCATTTTCCACACAAGGCTCATTTCAACATCACATATAGTATACATAATACAGATTAATTATGAAGTGCTAAAATGTATCTTTTTTTTAGCTGTTGATCGTTGAAGATGGTGTTCTGTAAGGAAGATGCCATTAGAAATGCCAGCAGCTATGTTGAGTCTTCGCTAAAAGATCTCCTTAACCATCCAATGTACAAGACGAGGTTTCCGTTGGCATTAGCAGCAGTTGCATTGGCAACGTCTTTACTTGGGCAGGTGATAAGAAAAAGCTAAAACCAGAGGCCCATGAGCTAGTGTACCGTCAGTTTCATTTATACGTAATTGTAAATCTACTAGGCAGCAATGGGTTAATTTAAATGAATCGTTAAATCTTAACCCAAATGACTATGTCCATCATTCTATTTTAAGAACTCCACTTAGAAATATTATGTGTGAACGGAATACGGTAGATTTACCTGAAGAATCTGAAGTTGTAAACAGCACCTTGGACAAGAATGTAGAAGTTGTAATTAGGTATACTGCTGGATATGTACCGTATGCTTTGCATAAATGATACAGTAAAGTTAAAGGGGAGACTGCCAAGGCTTATTGTGCGGTGTTAAAAAATTGGGAAATTAAAGGTGCTGGCAATGCAAACACATTTTTGGAGTATACAAATGAGTGGATAAGGAAACAAACACTTCCATATTTAGGATGATGTTTATCTGTGTTTTAGAAACCTAGAATTAGAAACAAGGAAGCGCTTGACATGAAATGAATGCGATGCCAAACAAGGACATAAAGTCCTGCATTATGAATAGTATGATTGAAAAGCAATTGGTGCATATATATTGCTGTAGGATTACCGATAACAAGTTGGTCGGTGATATCTCCAGAAATTTGCTAGATGCTGTGATTAGGTTGTGGATTAAAATTAGAGCGAATGCTTTTTTAAAAGTTTATTTAGATTTGAAGAGATCTGAGGGCAAGAAAATTTCTAAAAAATCAGCGAAGGCCCTACGCAATTCAGGTAAATGCGATCTAACTGTTGCTCCGAAGACTTGTTCTGTAATTGTGAATGGGTGAGATATATATTCGGTATTTTTTGTTTCGAATTTGTACTAGATTTGGTCTCATTACTTTGCAGATACTGCAGCGCTCACCATCTTTCGCAACAGAAAAATGACAGTTGTTGTGCCTAATAGTTTGAAACACTGGTGAATAATTGTCATGCACTGTTACTTTTACCGGTGTCTCTCCATTTGGTCCTGTTTTTCTGGCTATGATATCCTGAAAATAATTGTTGCCAACACAAACATTCCTGCTAAAGAATTTTTTACGTCTTTAGTGTTCTGCACATTAACATTATCAAGCTTATTTTTTACTTCCATTCCAGCTACAGTAAGCTTCCAAACAAATTGTTCTAATACCGTCAAATGCATAATGACCAAACCTGCATTCGTCAATCTCACAATTTGTAATTGTTCACCAGAATACCAGGTCAACAAGGCAGCATCATAGCCTCTTTGTTATCCGCTAAGGTCTTCATACTTGGCGAAGGAACGACCTGTTCGCTAAACGAATGATTAAAGTCATACTTATTAACAAATTTTCCACTTTCTTTGTGGGTTGAATGACTTTTCCCTTTAATAACACCTTTTAATCTAGCTTTCAATATTTTACGTCTTTCAACAGGATCAGCAGGAAGGGGATCCTTTTCGACAAATCTATAAGTTTCTCTAACACATAATTTTTTGACCGTCCCATTTTTTTTATCTCTTTATAATTTTTAAACCGAAAATTCAAATTTCCCGATAATGACCTATAGCTAATGTAAGGATACTGTCGTAGTATAGGGGTTCTGATGGTGAATCGTCAAGTGGATATTTGTAGATGAAAACACTATAATAAACAAAGATCATTCTTTTGTAACAATATTTACAATGGAACTGTTTTATATGGTCAAAAGTCAAACTAACATAGGTGGCAGCAAGTTATTAATTAAATCAGTACAGTATCTCAATACTGTGACATCTCCCTTCTTTCATTAGTGTTTGTATAACTTTCAACTATTATGAACTGTATGTTGTTTGCATATTATGATGATCACTACTTACCTAATCTACGTAATTATCATATTAACTAATTATTGCATACCTGAGTTTTATTGTCCATTATAGTATGCATATTTATTTTTATGTGCTCCAATATGTTTTTGTTAAGGTTTAAAGATATTAGGTTATTGTATACTGCATAAGAGTTGTGATTATTGTGCTGGTGATGGTCGTGTTTCTCGACTCCATGTCATTTAGTGTCAGGCTCCCCAATGATGTCCTATATGTCATCCTTTAGCGTGTTCTGGAAACTCTCACCAGTTGTGCGTATGTGTCGCCGATTTCTACGATACTGGGCTCCTGATGATGTAGTCAGAAAATATGATCTAGGTTGACCACTTGGTCCATCTACTATCGTAGGTTTCCATTTTGGTTTTGTAATCCAGTACTCTTACACTTTGTCCCTTATAAGGTTCTTTGAGTGGTTTCGCATGCTGATTGTAGTTTTGATGCCATTTTGTGGATCTTAATTCCTTATGGTCAGTCGTGCTGATGCTGATTACAGGTAAGTTTGCCTGCACCTTGCGTCCAAACATCAGTTCAGCTGGTGAAGGCATTCCTGCTTGAATGGGTGTGGTACGTAAGCATAAAAGTGCTAAGGCAGGGTCCTCTCAAGCTTCATGTGACTTCTCCAGTGGTTTTTTTTTATTTTTGTAATGCCAACGAACTTCTCCGCTTTGCCATTACATTGAGGGTACCTCGGGCTACTTGTGGTGTGCTTGAAGTTGCATTAGTTGGCAAATAAGCGGAATTCACTGGAGTCATATTGCTTAGCATTGTCGCTAATGAATGTGTTTGGTATTCCAAACTCTGAGAATATGATTTTCAGTTTGCTTATGATTGCTGGTGAGGAGAGGCTGGTTAATTTCCATATGATGACGTATGAACTGTAGTATGATAAACTATTTGACGAATGAATGAGACATAAACAGCGGTCTATGGTTCCGACGGATGGATATCCTTTTATTTTGACTCACAGTCAAAGAACTGCATTAGTTCCCTACTTTTCCATATATTCCCGTGAAAATGCAACAAGAAACCAGGCCCTTGGGGGTGGTTTATGGTTCGGGCGAACCCCCCTTTTCTAGCGAACCCCTCTGTTTTCTAGCGAAATTTTTTGAATGAGTTCCATTCGGACGGAATGTCTGTTTTTAACTTACCCAGCATTAAATCAAAATTTAGAACCTTATTCATTATTTGGTCACCCGTTTTTAAATTGTAGCCTGTGATACAAGCCTACATTCATAGAATAGGCCTATCTCAGCTTCAGAAGTTCGGAGATTTAAATTGAACCCAACTCCATGACTTTACGATGGCACAAGGATGGTAAACATCGATAAAACCCAGCTGCCGTCTCAGCTGTCACTGGTCTTTGGCTGAATGTTTGCAAGAAATGTACCAACCGGTAACGAAACCGGTCGCCGTCTACCTAGAGTACCACCAAACAAAGCTAAAGTTTTGCGACTTAATCCACCAAATGCAGATAGTAGATTGTGTGATTAGTTAATTCCATAGCCATACTGTCCATAGCGCACACTAAACTCTGTGCTGATGGAGATTTTTTGGGAAATTGACTCTCCTTTTTTCCATCCCAAACAAAGTATTATTAATAAATCAACATGGTCTATCTCAGTCATCATAGCCAGTCACAAAATTAGGCTAGGAAGTTTGTTTTCAACAGCAGACACACACTACAGAACAAAGTGCGTCAAAACGAGTGGTTGTTAATTTTTAGTGGTATAGAATTTTTGTAGAATAGACTTTTTTCGTCCGTTGTTGCAAAGAAGAAAACGACAGATAGTCCTTTAAGGTGGGTTATTGTTTTCAAAATCAATTAACCTAGCCTAGATGTTGACTAGCTAGGTTCGCTCCTC